TTATTGCTGTTATTTATTATTATTATTATTTATTGTTGTTGTTGTGAATTTGTATTATTAAAATAACTCAGAATTGTATTAAATTTAAATAAAATAAGAGTAATAACAAAATTAACACATTTTACCTCAATAGTATTGTTTATTAAAAAAAACTTTATTTTACTACAATAGAATAATAATAATGATGACTAATAATAATAATAATTGAGTACAATAAAACTGTTAATAACAACGACAGAAACCGCTTTAAAATAATTTTAAAGTCTTTCATACTACTTGCTTTTCAGTCCTCTGAGATTCCATGTCCTGCCTCACTCTGCTGTGAAGGATCAACATGTAACCAATACAACTGAGGTTTGTGGTGGACAATTAAAGGAAGATGTCTGTGCTCAAATTCCTCAGACTTTCACAACTTGCTGCAACACTAGTGAGGCCCCGGAGATTGACCTTATGAAAGCCGATGGTGAGCCCCTGATTATATGATCTGTGTGGAAGTCATCAGATATTGACACAGAAACCTTGTTTACTGTGGTATTGATTTTGCAGGCAGTACAAAACTTGTTGAAGTGTTAAGTAATGTGAACAAGATCAGTGCTGCAAAACGCACACCCTCCGCTGAAGGCTCTCACCCCTCAGCTGTCAGAAATCCCATTGAGAAGGATTTTCAAAGGTAAGATGGCTATTTCAGTCCAGTTTCTATTTAAGCCATAGACATTAATCATTCTACCTCAATATCCTTATTCATTATTCACTAATTTGTGCTTTGTTTATCCCTTAATTAATTGTGACATGAATAAGTCACCAGGCGTCATCCTCATGCAAACCTCAAGGTTTTCAAAACAAGGTATGAATGTGTGAAGCTTCTTCAAGGTTAATTTCAGTCCATTTAATAATGTCTTGAGTCCTTGAGACATTTCATACCCTGAATGTCTTTAACATCTTCATTATCTCTCATCAGGTTGAGGGCAGAAATTTAATTCCTCTCGGTGCCATTAATCAAGCAGGGTTTCTATCATGTGATATAGTCCTGCCATCAGACTTAAGTGAAGGTGAAATTACAGGTGAGCTGTTTCCCAGATTCACTTGTTCATTTTAATAATCGCAGCCTCGCATCATTATTGTAATGTTATTCACAGGTGAGGTGATCACGCCGTCTGGAAAGACAGCACAGCCCAGCGTGATTGATAACAAAGACAGTACCATCATTCTAAAGTTTGATCCTTCAGAAGAAGGTCTTCACCAACTATTTATTAAATCATCCAGAAATGATTTACCAGGTTAGACTGGATGGAAAATATCAGATATTTTAGTGTTTGCTTTACAGTTGATCATGCTTTAATGGATAAGCATAAAATATTTTAAAGCTTTGCAGAACTAGAAAAATGTATATTCATTATTATTATTTTATTTATCTTTTAAGTTACCCATAATGGTTTTGTTTGTTTTCTTTTTTATTTATATTATGATATAGAACTCAAACTTCCTCATATAACCTCATATATATATGATTAATGATTTTTTGTTATTTTGCCTTATTTTAATACTTGTTTTGTCTTATTTTTAATCATTGTAAGTCAGTTTTTCAAGGCCCCTTGGTTGAGATCCACTACTTTTTTTCATATATTTGGCATAGATGTCACTAAATACCAGCTTTACAAGTTTATTGAATGTATTTGCTCTTCTTAATTTTGATTTAATTCATTCATCCAACAATCAACATTTGTGATATTTATTCCGTCAGAACAGTTTAAATACAATTCTTTCTCCTTTCTGCAGAACTTCCACTGCAGTATTATGCAAATAGTCTTGCTAATCGCAGCACTATGGCCTATGGACGTGGCCTTGTGTATGGAATTGCAAATGAGACGGCAATATTCACCATCTGTCAGGAAGATTCTGCCTCGAGTGAGCGTTTGTTTTGTGATTCCATAATAACGGACTGTTTACATTTTTGTGCAGTTGTACTTTATATTGTTTGTACATCCAATATTAGTTGACTCTTCACTCAACTGTGTGTCAATAGAACCAAGAACCGTAACAAAGTCAAGTGGAAAGTGTGCTGAAATGGATCATCTTTATGAGCAAAAATACAGTAATAACATTGCTGCTATCAAAGCATAATGAAATATCATTCATTGCCATTATAATAGAGTGCATTAGTGTTTGCCCACTTTCTCAGCGGCTTTGGTTCCAGAAGTATTTATTCCATACATTTTTCACAGAGGGGTTTAAAAAAAGTCTGTTAAAATGTTGTAAGCCATAGACCAAGACAGCTACGAGGTGAACCAAGTTATCATTAAAACTCCCCGTTTCCCTAAAGAGAAAATTTAGTTTTTTTACATAGGTTTTAGTTATTTTCATATCTTATTTGTTTAGGTGAGTTGGACATCACAATTGAGGGTCCATCTGAGGCAGATGTGCGCTGCGTGGACAATGAAGATGGCACTTGTACTGTGAGCTACTTCCCAACTGAGCCTGGAGATTATGAGATCCAGATTCAAACTGATGATGTGCCTATCCGAGGTAGTCCCTTCAAGTCCAGAATTGCTGGTATGGAAACCCCACCAAACCTCAAACCAGTATTCATAATGTCATAGTGACCAAAGCTTAAATTACTAGATGCATGGTTTTTATAACCCAATACAGCTGGAAATGTGAGAAGGTCACAGGTAAAACTGGGCAGTGCTGTTGACTTTACCCTGGACATCACTGAAGAAGATATAAGCCAGCTCTCCACCAGCATCATGTCACCCGCAGGCGATAATGTACCCTGTTTGCTGAAAACACAACCTGACAGCCATCTTGGTGAGCCATCTATTAATGTGCACACAGCTGCAGTTGGTAGAAATGAAATGGCAAGATTAATAAGCCTCAACAAATACATTTTAGCATTTGGTCACCTCAAGGATACCCACATCCTTAGTGCCACTGTCAAACTTCCATCAGAGGTGTGCTTTGTTATGCAGGTGTATCATTCATCCCCAGAGAGGCTGGTGAGCATCTGGTCAGCATCATGAAGGACGGGGAGCATGTGAGCAACAGTCCCATCTCTCTTTCCATCAGTCAGGCGGAGATAGGAGATACGAGCAAGGTGAAGGCCTTCGGCCCTGGCTTACATACAGGGCACACC